GTCAAAATGCTCTCAATGGTGCAGCTGTATAACTTTTGGAGAATCTGAAGCAAATAAACACCTCCCAATATACATTTTACATTTTAGTCATTTAGCAGACGCTCTTATCCAGAGCGACTTACAGTTAGTGAGTGCATACATTATTTAATTTTTTTCATACTGGCCCCCCGTGGGAATCGAACCCACAACCCTGGCGTTGCAAACGCCATGCTCTACCAACTGAGCTACATCCCTAATATCCGTCTGTAGCTGAGAGTAAACATAATTGATCATGATTAAGAACAAAAGAAGACCAATCATAATTGTGACACTCCCTTCTAACGCAGCCTGTGATCACCATAGAGGGGATCAGAAGGCACATCCATATTCCAGAGAGTCTTAGCTTTCAGGAATTGGGTTATCATAGCTTATAGCCAAAACGGTTCAAATGCTAGAGCCAAATTCATAGAAAGAAAATAAATTCAACATGCCACATTGGCTTCAGAAACTGCCAGAAGCTTCTGTCGACCACAGTGAGCATTTAATTCTACCTGCTCTCCTTTACCTTTCCTGGCTGGCAAAGTGCCAGGATGTTGTCTCTGGTTTTGAATGTGAATTTAGAGAACTGAATTTGAAAACTGAATCTGAATGCATCTGAGAAGTTGAATATATGAAACTTTGATTAACTTGAAATTATAGTTTGTAAACTTGATACACAGACAATGAATGCAATATCTACCATATTGAAAATGAATATATAAATATTTAATTTGAATATTCAATTAAGTTGAATTTGAAAACTGAATGCAATATTCACTCAATTCAGTTTAAAATCATGAAATACAAGTTAAGGTTATGAATTCAATTTGTGTGTTACAAATGCAAAAATATTACATTCAAATTCAATATCCTAATATAAATTCATAATTGGCCTCCCGAGTGGTGCAGCGGTCTAAGGCACTGCATCACAGTGCTATAGGCGTCACTACAGACCCGGGTTTGATCCCAGGCTGTGTCGCAGCTGGCCGCGACTGGGAGACCCATGAGGTGGCGCACAATTGGCCCAGCGTCGTCTAGGTTAGAGGAGGGTTTGGCTGGCCAGGATGTGCACACACAATTTTTTAGTTTATTTAAAACTTTGCTAAATTATGGAATTCTAATACAATTTCTGTTGGCACTGAAACTGCTCCATATGCCTACCTTAATCACCCTTGATCCTGTATCTCCCTGGTCCTGGACCATTCTAACTGTCTTCTCTACCTAGATCCTGTATCTCCCTGGTCCTGGACCATTCTAACTGTCTTCTCTACCTTGATCCTGTATCTCCCTGGTCCTGGACCATTCTAACTGTCTTCTCTACCTAGATCCCGTTTCTCCCTGGTCCTGGACCATTCTAACTGTCTTCTCTACCTAGATCCTGTATCTCCCTGGTCCTGGACCATTCTAACTGTCTTCTCTACCTAGATCCCGTTTCTCCCTGGTCCTGGACCACCCTCACTGCCTCAGCATGACACCCTTCTCTCTACTGCCTGTTTCATTGCCTCATACCCACCATAGCCCACACTGTGAGCACCCACACACCTCCACCACACCTTATACTACCCTGCTTGGTCAGGCACGCCTCTCAACACCTTATACCTCCCTATCCCTCTGCTCCATGTCCTTACAGAACACCAACAAGCTCCCATTTCTCTGCTCCATGTCCTTACAGAACACCAACAAGCTCCCATCTCTCTGCTCCATGTCCTTACAGAACACCAACAAGCTCCCATCTCTCTGCTCCATGTCCTTACAGAACACCAACAAGCTCCCATCTCTCTGCTCCATGTCCTTACAGAACACCAACAAGCTCCCATCTCTCTGCTCCATGTCCTTACAGAACACCAACAAGCTTCCATCTCTCTGCTCCATGTCCTTACAGAACACCAACAAGCTCCCATCTCTCTGCTCCATGTACTTACAGAACACCAACAAGCTCCCATCTCTCTGCTCCATGTACTTACAGAACACCAACACGCTCCCATCTATCTACTCCATGTCCTTACAGATCACCAACAAGCTCCCATCTCTCTGCTCCATGTCCTTACAGAACACCAACAAGCTCCATCTCTCTGCTCCATGTCCTTACAGAACACCAACAAGCCTCCATCTCTCTGCTCCATGTCCTTACAGAACACCAACAAGCTCCCATCTCTCTGCTCCATGTCCTTACAGAACACCAACACGCTCCCATCTCTCTGCTCCATGTCCTTACAGAAACACCAACAAGCTCCCATCTCTCGGCTCCATGTCCTTACAGAACACCAACAGCTCCCATCTCTCTGCTCATGTACTTACAGACACCAACAAGCTCCCATCTCTCCTGCTCCATTCACTTACAGAACACCAAACACGCTCCCATCTCTCTGCTCCATGTCCTTACAGAACACCAACAAGCTCCCATCTCTCTGCTCCATGTCCTTACAGAACACCAACAAGCTCCCATCTCTCTGCTCCATGTACTTACAGAACACCAACAAGCTCCCATCTCTCTGCTCCATGTCCTTACAGAACACCAACAAGCTCCCATCTCTCTGCTCCATGTCCTTACAGAACATCAACAAGCTCCCATCTCTCTGCTCCATGTCCTTACAGAACACCAACAAGCTCCCATCTCTCTGCTCCATGTCCTTACAGAACACCAACAAGCTCCCATCTCTCTGCTCCATGTCCTTACAGAACACCAACAAGCTCCCATCTGTTAACACTTTAGCATCAACAACTTCCCAATCATATTTTTTATCAGACGTCAACCTAATTGGATTCATAGTTACAACTCCCCTACCTCCACAAACTTCAGAGTCAGTCAATCGAAACAGGACCATCAGCTCAGCTCTCCGCTCTTAAATCAAATGTTCAACTGGCTGTAAACTTTCTCTCTAAAAATGCAATCTAAATGTCAATAAAGAAACAAATATTTAGGTGATTATTAGCTACATTTTGAAATGACAGACACATTCATTGAGATAGAATTGGCTAAACAAAAGGTAGATTGATGTTATTACTGTCAGTGAGTGGATCTCTGGAAATGACAGGTAGGTCGCCAGTTTGTTACATTCAATAACATCCGTATAGAAACACCTCATGGTAAGTCGCCAGTGAGTGACTGCATAAATATTGTGTACCCTAATTTTGTTTCTAATAATATACTGCCCACTGGGCACACACTGGTTAAATCAACGTAGTTCCCACGTCATTTCAATGAAATGACCCTGAACCAATGTTGAATACAGTGAGGGAAAAAAGTATTTGAAAAAAGTATTTTGTACGTTTGCCCACTAACAAAGAAATGATCGGTCTATAATTTTAATGGTAGGTTTATTTGAGCAGTGAGAGACAGCAACAAAAAAAATCCAGAAAGACGCATGTCAAAAATGTTATAAATTGATTTGCATTTTAATGAGGGAAATAAGTATTTGACCCCCTCTCAATCAGAAAGATTTCTGGCTCCCAGGTGTCTTTAATACAGGTAACGAGCTGAGATTAGGAGCACACTCTTAAAGGGAGTGCTCCTAATCTCAGTTTGTTACCTGTATAAAAGACACCTGTCCACAGAATCAATCAATCAATCAGATTCCAAACTCTCCACCATGGCCAAGACCAAAGAGCTCTCCAAGGATGTCAGGGACAAGATTGTAGACCTACACAAGGCTGGAATGGGCTACAAGACCATCGCCAAGCAGCTTGGTGAGAAGGTGACAACAGTTGGTGCGATTATTCGCAAATGGAAGAAACACAAAAGAACTGTCAATCTCCCTCGGCCTGGGGCTCCATGCAAGATCTCACCTTGTGGAGTTGCAATGATCATGAGAACGGTGAGGAATCAGCCCAGAACTACACGGGAGGATATTGTCAATGATCTCAAGGCAGCTGGGACCATAATCACCAAGAAAACAATTGGTAACACACTACGCCGTGAAGGACTGAAATCCTGCAGCGCCCGCAAGGTCCCCCTGCTCAAGAAAGCACATATACAGGCCCGTCTGAAGTTTGCCAATGAACATCTGAATGATTCAGAGGAGAACTGGGTGAAAGTGTTGTGGTCAGATGAGACCAAAATCGAGCTCTTTGGCATCAACTCAACTCGCCGTGTTTGGAGGAGGAGGAATGCTGCCTATGACCCCAAGAACACCATCCCCACCGTCAAACATGGAGGTGGCAACATTATGCTTTGGGGGTGTTTTTCTGCTAAGGGGACAGGACAACTTCCCTGCATCAAAGGGACGATGGACGGGGCCATGTACCGTCAAATCTTGGGTGAGAACCTACTTCCAGGGCATTGAAAATGGGTCGTGGATGGGTATTCCAGCATGACAATGACCCAAAACACACGGCCAAGGCAACAAAGGAGTGGCTCAAGAAGAAGCACATTAAGGTCCTGGAGTGGCCTAGCCAGTCTCCAGACCTTAATCCCATAGAAAATCTGTGGAGGGAGCTGAAGGTTCGAGTTGCCAAACGTCAGCCTAGAAACCTTAATGACTTGGAGAAGATCTGCAAAGAGGAGTGGGACAACATCCCTCCTGAGATGTGTGCAAACCTGGTGGCCAACTACAAGAAACGTCTGACCTCTGTGATTGCCAACAAGGGTTTTGCCACCAATTACTAAGTCATGTTTTGCAGAGGGGTCAAATACTTATTTCCCTCATTAAAATGCGAATAACATTTTTGACATGCGTTTATCTGGATTTTTTTGTTGTTATTCTGTCTCTCACTGTTCAAATAAACCTACCATTAAAATTATAGACTGATCATGTCTTTGTCAGTGGGCAAACGTACAAAATCAGCAGGGGATCAAATACTTTTTTCCCTCACTGTAGATGTTGAATAGATGTTGAACCAATGTTGAATTGACGTCTGTGCCCAGTGGGTATGGTTCTTGTGACATTTTGACATCAATGTATTGGAACAGGTAATCAATGTTGCAGATTTCAGTGACTAATCTGTGATTGCTACATACATTTTTGGTCTTTTAAATTGATGAAACCCATTGATTCTTGAAGAATATAACTTATAAATGTCCAATGAGCTTAGTTCAACAGTAGCAGCCCATCAGAACCCCAAATATAACATTGCTTTATTCCATTGTTCGTAAACAACATCATTGTTAACAAACACTATATATCCTCAAAACATGGTTAAAACTATAATGTTGATATCATGGATGGTCAGTCCTTGCATCCATGGCTCTGTTTATGAGTTTGAAAGTGGTTAAATTCCTCCAGCCCCATCCTTCAGCTTTTTGCCAAAACAGTGGCGGGGCGCCTACTTTGTTATTGTTTGAGCCGCAGATTGCCCCTTTAATAGTAGCACTTATATAATGAATGTGTTCTTTATTAAATCATATCTGTACTTTTTACCTAGTCGCACATTGATGCACTAAACAATATGAAATCAAATGAGAAAGATAATGACTACATGCTTCTTAATCAGTTTAATACATTTGAGAAAAAGTTAGACAACATGAATCATTTATATGATAGTGTAGAGAGAAAGGACATACAGTTCATGAAAGTAGCCTATATGATAATGAGTCAGACCCTATTGGTTCCCTATAGATAAAGGTATTTAATATTCCATGCAGTTAATGTAAATAGGAAAATTGATAAGGCCATTTTAAAAGACTTCTAGGCCTAATCTAAGTGGTTCTGCTTGTCACACTCAGTTTCATGGCAGCCGCACTTATCAATGTAAATGTAGGAATGCATGAACTTCTTCCCGTCAGAGCAGACCATCTCCACCTCCCTCTCACTGGTAGACATCTCTTGACAGCAGGAGCAGGAGTGCATCAAGGTGTTTTTCTCTGCAGAGTACCTAGCAAACAGGACATACAAACAACACTGTTAGAAACAGTCCCAATTCATTCTGCAATAGGTCAACTCCCATTGAATTCTCACCCTTCAATCCAATTCCACCCGTACACATTTCTGCAAGACCCAAATGCATGTTGCGTTTGTTTCTGTGTGTGTGTGTGTGTGCTTATTTTGAGTTTCTACTCACATAGAAGACGTTCCACAGGATCCCCCGCAGGCTGCGATCTCCACGGGCACAGTAGACCTGCAGTCTGTCACCTCTAGGTAGGTGGTGGTGTTCTTCACATCACAGTGACTGATTGGAGTGCCTGGGGAGGGAGACAGAGTTAGGGAGGACATTTTAAAGAGGTGAGTTTCCCCCTTACTATGTAAAGTGCTTGGACTTTGAGCTACTTGAAAAAGTTGCCTGGTTTTAGCTATAATTGAACTCCTTGCCACGCCTTGTCATGCGTATTTGGCAATGAAACTGAGCACAAGGACTGGAATGTCCTCACAAAACAGGGTCTGGTTTTCTGGCTATGGAAATGGAACTACATCCAGTAGATTATTATATATTCCAGAACCATCAGACTCACATCATATCTGCATTCAGTTTCATCTACAGTAACTCAACATTGATTTATTGTGTCATAAGAGGTTATGTTCACAAGAGGTTATGTTCACAGAGTATGTCACAGGGTATTTCGAGGTATGTTCACAAGAGGTATGTCACAAGATGGTTATGTTCACAAAAGGTTATGTTTTTTGTCAAGAGTATGTACAAGAGTTATGTTCACAAGAGTTATTTCACAGAGTTATGTTCACAAGGTTATTGTTACAAAGTTATGTCACAGAGTTATGTTTACAAATTATGTTAAAGTATGTTCAAAGAGGTTATGTTCACAAGAGGTTATGTTCACAAGAGGTTATGTTCACAAGAGGTTATGTTCACAAGAGGTTATGTTCACAAGAGGTTATGTTCACAAGATGTTATGTTCACAAGAGGTTATGTTCACAATATGTTATGTTCACAAGAGGTTATGTTCACAAGAGGTTATGTTCACAAGAGATTATGTTTGACTACTAGATCTGATGTATGAACAAAAAAGACACAAATCATGAATATTTATAAATAAATCCAGTTGTTTTGTTACTTACAGGATGTGCAACAGCCATTTGCATCAGTTTTCTCAGTTCCCTTTGATGTCAAAAAGAATAGTGTACAGTTAAATTTGGATATGACTAGTTACGGTCTATTGAGTTGGAGAACACAGTATAGATGTTATAATGGAAAACTATGATCAGATATGAAATGTTACTAGGGTGTAAATTCAATATAACCTACAAGTTACTATCCTATGAAGCAAACAGCATATTTAGATATAGTTACTTTACTTTAAAGAAACAAATTCAACCAGTTTTCTCATCTACTTACAGGGACACAGTCTTCTGGACTGAACACTGGGCATTCCAATTTGGTTTTCACAACGATGAACTGGTCGTTTCTCTTTGTGCAGTAATACGTCACACAGCGGTCACTAGGGAGCGACCACAACTCCCCAAGCTGTCAGGTAGCAGGAAAGAAATGTTGGTAAGTTAATGCTGCACGTTATAAAAACTTAAATAAATAAGCGTTGCTAAATAATTTATAAGCTTTTCAGAAATAAGTACTTCATGGTTTGAAAATGTAAACAAGCATTACAATTCTTAAGCATTTAGACCTATAACATTTATGATGCATTTATAAACATTTGTAAGCACTTATAATAAGTTCTCATTAGTGACGTCATTCGTCCATTTGTGATATCACAAAGATACCTGATATTAATAATAATCTAAATTGGGTGAATTATCTCATCGCTGTCACCTGAATGATGTGAGATGTGGCGTTTGGTAGAGCTACAACACATTCCTTCTGGACACATGTTCCACAGCATTCCCCAGGTACGACTTCATACTCATAACCCTGGACGGGAATCAACAAGGTGGCATCATTAGCGGATGTCCTTCATGTCAAACTGTATAGCCTACCATGTAAAATGTTAAACCGAGTTGGCCATTATCCCGAGTACAGTACCGTTTGGCAGGTGGTGGAACAGTTGATTTGGACACACTCAACAACATATAGCTCGGAGACTGGATCCTTTTTAGGGCCACACTTGCACTCCTCACAGATGCCGCTGGGAACATTTTCACCAAGCTGGAGAGTGCAAGCAAGAGTTAGTATCATGTGCTGTAGCAAAACATTAAGCTTGGGTCCTCAGTGGCTCTCAAGACGACTTAAAGGGGCAATCTGTGATTGGTACATCAATATTTAGGTATATTTTATAAAAAAATTACAAATGTTTTATTGTAATACTGCTCTGATATCAAAAGAAGTGTTACTGCTCACCGTGAATTCAGTATTATTGTGGACACAGACAGGTTTGGGCACTGAAAGAACACACAATAAAAGGGTCAGACAGTTGTTGATACCTGCACCATGTTACCACTATACACAGATGTTACATTACAGCGCGTGACATGGTTCAATGACGTGGTCCAATGACATGGTCCAATGATATGGTTCAATGACATGGTCCAATGACATGGTCCAATGAGATGGTCCAATGAGATGGTCCAATGAGATGGTCCAATGACATGAGATGGTCCAATGACATGGTCCAATGAGATGGTCCAATGAGATGGTCCAATGAGATGGTCCAATGAGATGGTCCAATGAGATGGTCCAATGACATGGTCCAATGAGATGGTCCAATGTGCCAGTAAATCAGCACAATCTACTTTTTGGGTTTTTTAAATTGCCGCCATCATGGAGCTAGAATTGTGATCATGTGTACTGTGCTAATGCTGATACAAAAACAGAGTAACGGAGAGCACTGTACAATACGACGAACTTAGCAAACAAGGCATTTGTGGTAAGTACATGGAGGCACCGTTTTTATGCACGTCAGCTATTAACCTTTCGGTCCCTCTTCAAATGACGTGCAGCTTACAGTATAAAGGCTTTATAAACACTACATCAATGTGTTACAAATCTTCTATGACCGTATGTCATGCTCTATAAAGGGTTCATAAACGTGGCATAACTGTATGACATAACCACCAATGTCAAATGTGACAAAGATGTGCTTTATATAGGGTGGCATAAGCACTGCTTAATAAAGGCTTTATAAATAATTAAATTGAGGCTTCACTAAGTATTTATTACACAGTCATCCATCTTGGTAGAGTATTGCAACACCAGGATAATGGGTTCGATTCCCGGGACCACCCATACGTAAAAATGTACTCATGCTTTGGATAAAAGCATATGCAAAATGATATATATTATATTTCACTAAAACATTTCTAGGATAGCCCAACCTATTTCCCTCTTGGGGTGCACAGTCAATGTTGGACCTGACCTCAACTTCTCCCAGAATGCTGTGCTGCAGGATGAGACACTCTAAAGTGTGGTCATGACAGCAGAACACATTGGTGAGGCCTTTCAAAATCTACTGTATTGTAATTCTAATATTGTAATGTTTAAATGTTTTGCTTATTTCTGGGGGGTTTTCTCAAAATTTCAGTTTTCTTGGTTTTGTTTTTCCAGTTTTTTGGGGATTTCCCCCAGTTTTCTCTGGTTTACCCCAGTTTTTTTCCACACTTTTAATGCTTAAACCACAACAGGGCATGACTTTTGAGGTGTGGTGTATTTGGCCTTTAATTCAGTGACCCTGGCCTGCACTGTCTGGTTAGAGGGGTTTCTGTGGTGTAGTAAGCCACATGTGATGTGATTCAGCCGCCATTGGAATGGGGTGGAGTAAAAGGGCAGCATATGTCATATGCCAAACATTTAGCACCAACAGACCTGTACCCAGGTTACCTGGTAGTACGTTAAGGTGGCTCTACCTAGTCTAAACTGAAATACTGTCTCTACTCACCACATGTATTTATTTGACAGCAGTCCACTGTCTTGTTGACCAACACCTCACCGTACTTCTTACAGGTAACAACTTCTTGGTGCTGACATTTCACTGGTTCACACCGGACACTCAGTGTGTCAGCATTACACTCGCACTTCTGGCAGTTACTGTTCCAAGTCTCACCAAACTGTGTTGGGACAAAACAAAACATTGTTAGCAGAGACTTCAAAGTTATTAAGACGAGGACTGGCCACCCCTCAGAGCCTGGCTCCTCTCTTGGTTTTTTCCCCAGGTTCCTGCCTTCTAGGGAGTTTTGCCTCGCCACTGTGCTCCTGTCTCTGCATTGCTTACTGCTTGGGTATCTGTAAAGCCACTGTGCTCCTGTCTCTGCATTGCTTACTGCTTGGGTATCTGTAAAGCCACTGTGCTCCTGTCTCTGCATTGCTTACTGCTTGGGTATCTGTAAAGCCACTGTGCTCCTGTCTCTGCATTGCTTACTGCTTGGGTATCTGTAAAGCCACTGTGCTCCTGTCTCTGCATTGCTTACTGCTTGGGTATCTGTAAAGCCACTGTGCTCCTGTCTCTGCATTGCTTACTGCTTGGGTATCTGTAAAGCCACTGTGCTCCTGTCTCTGCATTGCTTACTGCTTGGGTATCTGTAAAGCCACTGTGCTCCTGTCTCTGCATTGCTTACTGCTTGGGTATCTGTAAAGCCACTGTGCTCCTGTCTCTGCATTGCTTACTGCTTGGGTATCTGTAAAGCCACTGTGCTCCTGTCTCTGCATTGCTTACTGCTTGGGTATCTGTAAAGCCACTGTGCTCCTGTCTCTGCATTGCTTACTGCTTGGGTATCTGTAAAGCCACTGTGCTCCTGTCTCTGCATTGCTTACTGCTTGGGTATCTGTAAAGCCACTGTGCTCCTGTCTCTGCATTGCTTACTGCTTGGGTATCTGTAAAGCCACTGTGCTCCTGTCTCTGCATTGCTTACTGCTTGGGTATCTGTAAAGCACTCTGTGACTACTGCTGATGACAAAAGGGCTTTATCAAATACATTTGATTGATTGATAATAACAATAGGGCTTCCAGCCCCTTCAGGGCTTGGACCACTAACAAGCCCCAATGAAACTAGTAAACTGAAGAAAATAAGAAATGGGGTTCTATACAGAACCTTTTTGAGGGCCGTAATGTGAAGCGAGCCGTTGAACCATTTTCGGTTGTATATACTGTCGCACCATTTCTTCTGATGTACACCACAATGAATCGATCTACATTCTTACCTGTTTGGGATTCCCATCAGGTCCAGTGCATCCTTGAAGGGAAAAGAAGATTTCAAGTCATACATGGTGGTACTTTGAGACACAATTAAACAATGTATTCCTCAAAACGGTGACACATCCTTACCACAGTCACGAACACAGGTGTCAGATAACGTGTTGAACAAGATGGTACCCTCGGGGCAGAAGCAGCCCTCCATGAATGTGTCACATACAATGTCACGGCTGTTTTGTTCTCCCTCACATGAATGCACATATTTGTCATTGTATCTATAATAAGGAAAAACAATGCGTTACAGACTAGGGAGAAAAACGGAATGGAAACCTTTAAGAATGCATGTACATTAGGTAGTGGTGTAAAATAATGAGATGGGAATGAGATGGATACCTTGAATTGCATGTTGGCTGGATAGTAGGGCCACATGCCTTATACACTTTGGTTTTAGGGCAGATCAGTTCTGTAATATGGTTCAAGATGGAATGAAAGACAAAACAGTACGTAAACAGTTTGTAAATGCAGGTTGTCAAAATACAATTCATTATGATAAATCATACAATTATTATAATTATGTAAAATCTTATTAACATCTTGTCTGCATCCCAAATGGGATCCTATTCCCTACATAGATCGCTACTTTTGGCAAGAGCCTGGTCTAAAGTAGTGCACTATGTAGGGAATACAATGCCATTTGGGACGCAGTCCTTATTTTATATGAAATTCCCTCCCTACCACATTTTCCATTAGTTGAGTTCCTCCAGTTGATACAGACTCCAGCTCCTGCACACATCACAGCGTAGGTTTCCAGGCTGGAGCAGCCGATTGTGATATTTGGCATGTGGCAGACATCGAACTTACAGGCCTCGAAGAAGGGTCGTGGTGGGATAACGTCATGGCATTGTTCAAAGACCCTTCCAAAATAAAGAACCCATTTAAGTTATTATATAGGCCTAACCCAAATGGGGCATATAACATGTCACGACAGATCACTTTGAAATATTTGATTACTGTATGCCTTACAGGCTAAATTATTAGTGAAGCATCTATGTAGTGTTTATGAAGACTTCATGAATGCTCTATAAAACTTTGATATGGCATAAAAAGTCTGTAAGGTAAGTTTCATTATGAGTTTGGTTATACTTTATGGAACAACAACCCATTACTGGAAAGTTTACAGAGTTTTATGTATACAGTGTCAAAACTAGCAACCTCAATCAGATTCACGTGTCTTTGTAATATCGCTGGCTCAGTGTGTTATTAGAAGGTCACATGTCTTACGGGCTAAGTATGATGTCACAGATTGCTGTCTTTCCTGACGGGCAGGTTGGAGGCGTAGGGGTAGGTGTGCTAGGTGGCATCGGTTTGGTAGGTGAGGTATGTTTGGTTGATTGGGTAGTTGTGGTAGATGGGGTAGGGGATTTCGGTTTACAATAGGGTTTTTTATCATCAGGAATCTGCCATTGATGAGCCATCCCAGGACATGATGGATCAATCTGTCCATTCGGTAATCTGCAATCGTTCTTCCTGATATTGTCACAGGTGCCTTTAAAAAGGTCAAATAAATATGGGAATGAGAAAGAAACAAAGGTTCTTTGATGTTAGAAACAGCCGCTCATAACTTTAAGCATACCTACACAGTATCTTTTAATTGGTTACGCTATCATTGCAACTGTACAGTGAACTTTTTAATGCCATGGAAATACAATAACATGCAACAAAATAACATCAAATCATCGCCAATAAGGTTCCGTTTACTCACAGAGTACTACAAGCTGTTCTTCTGATTTATACTACAAGTGTATTTTGTCTACATCATGTCTGCATCCCAATGGGACCCTATCCCCTGGTTGAAAGGAGTGCATTGGGGAACAGTGGGCCATTTGGGATACACACAAAGCCTACATACTTACCACACTGTCCCTCTGTGTTGTTGTGGAATAGGGAGTTTGGCAGGGTTACACTGAACATAAGGGATTTAAACATCACTTGTGCTTTAATGGCAGGGATAGTCAACAGTAACTCTATTCCAGTGCTGGTGATCATGAGGTCTTCATTAGAAAAGGTCGGGAAGATCTGATTTCCATTGATGTACACCTTGTGAATGAGAAGGAAAAACACAACATAATTAATGACAATAGAGAACAGAATAACGTTACAACACAGTAGATAAGATATGAACGGTTTCCAGAACTAAATGAACTCACAATAAGAGGTGGTATTCTGTCAATTCATTTAATCTTTTGTCAATAAAATGAAATTCTTTGAAATGTCCTGGGAATGTTTCGGTTACCTTGATGATGGTTTTTGAGTTAACGTGATGGCATCATCAAAGTGCTTAACCATTATGTAATGTTACTAAATTACTATTACTAACTACTCTAGTGTAGTACTAAAAATTATATTTGTGGTAGTCGGCAGGATCAGATATGCCTATTAATCAATACCTCCACGTTACAAAAAGTAAATAATACATTTCAAAATATGAAGCTAGATTATTTTCATTCTTAAAGTGGTATGATAATATCTATCTCAAAGAATATCTATATCATAGAATATCTATATCAATGAATGTCTATATCAAAGTGCACTTTTAAAAAGTGTATAAGTGTTTTATAATTACCACATTTTTTGTCGTGGTTGATCTCTTCGGAGTAAGAACGATTATATAGGACTTGTAATGGACAATCAGAGACTGAGGGCAGGTCACGTGTCCAGACGGATCGCAGTTGTAGTTGTCGATGATGACACTGAAGTTATATCGAGGAACTATTTCTTTAATCAAAACGTAGGTGCAGTTTTCCTGGAAACTGTAATATTGCCCATCAAATGTGACGTAATGAGGGTCTCCCCATCCATAGCATATACCTGAGAGATGAAACAGAGAAACGGTACCAAATAGATAGATCACTCATCAATACAAGAGTTTAAAATCCTACTCCAGTCTCCTTTTCACCTCATTTAACACCTGATTTACTGAACACAACAGGTGGTCTAGGTATCCTCATGACATGGCACAAGCAAGAGGGGAGGCTGAAAACATCACAATGTCACCATCAGATCAGACCAGAGGTGCAACTTTCACTGGGGACGTTCTGATATTGCATTTTTGTACCCTCCAGTTTTTCATTGGAATGTGATACAAAACGAGGCAACAGTATGCTTTAGGACCATGCGGACGCCTCCGAGCGGTCGGGTAGGATGTTTGGAGTGTTTATCCAACTGGATAAAAAAGTATTAACTATTATTATATTACTATTATTGTTATTATATTATTATATTATTATTAATTATTATATTATTATCATTATATTATTATCTATCAATTATTTATTATTATTGATTGTTAATTATGTCACTAGTATTATTATTATTCATTACTTTCTATTATGACTATTATATATCACTATTATACTATTATTATTATTTGATTAACATATTACTATTATTACATTATTATTAGATTATTATTAATTTATGTCAATATTCTTTATATTATTATATATTATTGTATACTTTTATATATAATTATTATTATATCACTATTATTGTTATTACTATCTATTATTGTTATTATTATTTCACATATTATTATCCTATTACATATGATATTTATTACATCATATTATTATTATTATTATTATATGATTATATGTATTATTTATTATTATTGATTATATATATTATGATTATTATTATTCTATAACCCCCCCCCACTTAAAAAAACAACGTTGCGTCCCTGGATCAGACCAACTCCTTGAAGTTTGCAGTTGTGTCTAAAAAACACTATTTTGTTCAAAACACATTGTATTTGTTTACCCTTTAGTGTGTGTACTTTCACTGTATTAATACTTGGGATATCGCTTTTCAACAGGAAAGTTCAAAAATCACTGCCGGACGTCTTTAAAACAAGTAAACTTGGAGTATGAAGTATTTGTAGAAGGAGATAAGATAATTAAAAATCATTGTGTTTTGAACTTACATTGACATTCGTAGCGATAGCAGCAACCTGATTCGTCATAGACTTTCACTGGTGGAAATCCATTTTCACACACAGGCGGTTGTACAGACTCACAGACCACATACGTTGTGGTAATTACACCCATGTTGCACGTTTGAGTTGTGCAGTTGCCTGTTTTCCAAGTTTCACCGTCCTAAAGTCGAAAAGGTATGTTTTAGTCCTGAAAGGAAACACACTACGTACTACACAACACTATGAACTGGGAAACACACTACGTACTACACAACACTATGAACTGGGAAACACACTACGTACTACACAACACTATGAACTGGGAAACACACTACGTACTACACAACACTATGAACTGGGAAACACACTACGTACTACACAACACTATGAACTGGGAAACACACTACGTACTACACAAACACTATGAACTGGGAAACACACTACGTACTACACAACACTATGAACTGGGAAACACACTACGTACTACACAACACTATGAACTGGGAAACACACTACGTACTACACAACACTATGAACTGGGAAACACACTACGTACTACACAACACTATGAACTGGGAAACACACTACGTACTACACAACACTATGAACTGGGAAACACACTACGTACTACACAACACTATGAACTGGGAAACACACTACGTACTACACAACACTATGAACTGGGAAACACAATTATTCTGTTGAAACTTTATTTCATTACCTTTCTTGGTGGATTGACATATTCACAGCCTCTGGAAGGTGTAGTCGGGGACAATCTAGATGTTGTAGAACGTGTAGCTTCTGTTGTTGTTGAGACAGTGCTGACTGTAGTTGAGACAGTGCTGACTGTAGTTGAGACAGTGCTGACTGTAGTTGAGACAGTGCTGACTGTATTTGGGGTCGGAGATGGACATGGTCTGGCTTGTTTCTCAACAATACAACTTGAGTTACAGTAAGAGGTGAAGCACCAGCCTGCCCCGTCAGTCTCATTGTATATCAAGGAACCTAAACAAAAACATATTATTAGTAACAAATAGATATTAAATTAAGTGTATGAATGCATTATGTAGTCAGATTTGATCATTTTAATGAAGGAAGCTATCACTTACCAGCAGGGAAATATTGTTTTTTATATGTGCAAAAACATAATGTGGTAGGAGTTGGGGTTGGGGTAGTGGTAGGAGTTGTTGTTGGGGTAGTGGTAGGAGTTGTTGTTGGGGTAGTGGTAGGAGTTGTTGTTGGGGTAGTGGTAGGAGTTGGGGTTGGGGTAGTGGTAGGAGTTGGGGTTGGGGTAGTGGTAGGAGTTGGGGTTGGGGTAGTGGTAGGAGTTGGGGTTGGGGTAGTGGTAGGAGTTGGGGTTGGGGTAGTGGTAGGAGTTGTTGTTGGGGTTGATGTAGTAGTTCCTTCTGTCTGTGTTGAGTTTTGATTTAGAGGTCCTTTTGTGGGTGATGTGAATGTTTGTGTTGGTTTTGTGATGACAGTGAATCCTGTTGTTGTGGTAGGGGCTTTGGTGGTGGCTGTTGTCGTTTCCTCAAAGGTAGTCGTAGATGGGGTTGTTGTTGTGGTTGTTGTTGGGGTAGTTGTTGTTGTTGGGGTAGTTGTTGTTGTTGTTGTGGTTGTTGTTGGGGTAGTGGTAGGGGTTGTTGTTGTTGTTGTGGTAGGGGCTTTTGTGGTGGCTGTTGTCGTTTCCTCAGAGGTAGTCGTAGATGGGGTTGTTGTTGTGGTAGTAGTTGGGGTAGTGGTAGGGGTTGTTGTGGGTGGTGTTGATTCTGGACCAGTTGTAATTTCTTCTGTTGTTTCACTTGTTGTGGAATATTTTGTTGTCTTAGTTGTTGTTGTGGTAGGAGTTGTTGTTGTGGTTGTAGTAGTAGTAGTTGTTGTTGTTGGTGTAGTGGTTGTTGTGGGTGTTGTTGATTCTGGACCAGTTGTAAATTCCTCTGTTACTGTTGTTGTTGTGGATGGGGTTGTTGTCTTAGTTGTGGTTGTTGGACTTTCTGTGGTGCTTGTTGTTGGGGTAGTTGTTGTTGTTGTTGTTGTTGGGGAAGTGGGTGTTGTTGTTGGTGGTGGTGTAATGGTTGTTGTGGGTGTTGTTGATTCTGGACCAGTTGTAATTTCTTGTGTTGTTTCACTTGTTGTGGAATACGCTGTTGTCTTAGTTGTTGTTGGACTTTCTGTGGTGGTTGTTGTTGTTGGGGTTGTAGTAATAGTAGTTGTTGTTGTTGGTGTAGTGGTTGTTGTGGGTGTTGTTGGTGTAGTGGGTGTTGTGGGTGTTGTTGGTGTAGTGGGTGTTGTGGGTGTTGTTGGTGTAGTGGGTGTTGTGGGTGTTGTTGGTGTAGTGGGTGTTGTGGGTGTTGTTGGTGTAGTGGGTGTTGTGGGTGTTGTTGGGGTAGTGGGTGTTGTTGTTGTTGTGGTTGTAGTAGTAGTAGTTGTTGTTGTTGGTGTAGTGGTTGTTGTGGGTGTTGTTGATTCTGGACCAGTTGTAAATTCCTCTGTTACTGTTGTTGTTATGGATGGGGTTGTTGTCTTAGTTGTGGTTGTTGGACTTTCTGTGGTGCTTGTTGTTGGGGTAGTTGTTGTTGTTGGGGTAGTTGTTGTTGTTGTTGTGGTTGTTGTTGGGGTAGTGGTAGGGGTTGTTGTTGTTGTTGTGGTAGGGGCTTTGGTGGTGGCTGTTGTCGTTTCCTCAGAGGTAGTCGTAGATGGGGTTGTTGTTGTGGTAGTAATTGGGGTAGTGGTAGGGGTTGTTGTGGGTGGTGTTGATTCTGGACCAGTTGTAATTTCTTCTGTTGTTTCACTTGTTGTGGAATATTTTGTTGTCTTAGTTGTTGTTGGACTTTCTGTGGTGGTTGTTGTTGTTGTGGTTGTAGTAGTAGTAGTTGTTGTTGTTGGTGTAGTGGTTGTTGTGGGTGTTGTTGATTCTGGACCAGTTGTAAATTCCTCTGTTACTGTTGTTGTTGTGGATGGGGTTGTTGTCTTAGTTGTGGTTGTTGGACTTTCTGTGGTGCTTGTTGTTGGGGTAGTTGTTGTTGTTGTTGTTGTTGGGGATGTGGGTGTTGTTGTTGGTGGTGGTGTAATGGTTGTTGTGGGTGTTGTTGATTCTGGACCAGTTGTAATTTCTTGTGTTGTTTCACTTGTTGTGGAATACGCTGTTGTCTTAGTTGTTGTTGGACTTTCTGTGGTGGTTGTTGTTGTTGGGGTTGTAGTAATAGTAGTTGTTGTTGTTGGTGTAGTGGTTGTTATGGGTGTTGTTGGTGTAGTGGGTGTTGTGGGTGTTGTTGGTGTAGTGGGTGTTGTGGGTGTTGTTGGTGTAGTGGGTGTTGTGGGTGTTGTTGGTGTAGTGGGTGTTGTGGGTGTTGTTGGTGTAGTTGGTGTTGTGGGTGTTGTTGGGGTAGTGGGTGTTGTTGTTGTTGTGGTTGTAGTAGTAGTAGTTGTTGTTGTTGGTGTAGTGGTTGTTGTGGGTGTTGTTGATTCTGGACCAGTTGTAAATTCCTCTGTTACTGTTGTTGTTGTGGATGGGGTTGTTGTCTTAGTTGTGGTTGTTGGACTTTCTGTGGTGCTTGTTGTTGGGGTAGTTGTTGTTGTTGGGGTAGTTGTTGTTGTTGTTGTGGTTGTTGTTGGGGTAGTGGTAGGGGTTGTTGTTGTTGTTGTGGTAGGGGCTTTGGTGGTGGCTGTTGTTGTTTCCTCAGAGGTAGTCGTAGATGGGGTTGTTGTTGTGGTAGTAGTTGGGGTAGTGGTAGGGGTTGTTGTGGGTGGTGTTGATTCTGGACCAGTTGTAATTTCTTCTGTTGTTTCACTTGTTGTGGAATATTTTGTTGTCTTAGTTGTTGTTGGACTTTCTGTGGTGGTTGTTGTTGTTGTGGTTGTAGTAGTAGTAGTTGTTGTTGTTGGTGTAGTGGTTGTTGTGGGTGTTGTTGATTCTGGACCAGTTGTAATTTCTTCTGTTGTTTCACTTGTTGTGGAATAAGCTGTTGTCTTAGTTGTTGTTGGACTTTCTGTGGTGGTTGTTGTTGTTGTTGTTGCAGTAGTAGTAGTTGTTGTTGTTGGTGTAGTGGTTGTTGTGGGTGTTGTTGATTCTGGACCAGTTGTAAATTCCTCTGTTACTGTTGTTGTTGTGGATGGGGTTGTTGTCTTAGTTGTGGTTGTTGGACTTTCTGTGGTGCTTGTTGTTGGGGTAGTTGTTGTGGTTGTTGGTGGTGGTGTAATGGTTGTTGTGGGGGTAGGGGTTGTTATTGTGGTTGTTGTTGGGTTAGTTGTTGTAGTTGTTGGGGTAGTTGTTGTTGGGGTAGTGGGTGTTGTTGTTGGGGTAGTTGTTGTTGTTGTTGGGGTAGTGGGTGTTGTTGTTGTTGTTGGTGTAATGGTTGTTGTGGGGGTAGGGGTTGTTATTGTGGTTGTTGTTGGGGTAGTTGTTGGCCTAGTGGTTGTTATTTCAGTGGTAGTATGTGTTGTGGTCCTTTCTGAGGTGGTAGTTGTCTCATTCCCACAAACAACACAACATTTGACTCTGATTTCATAGTTGTAGCATATTGGTGGGATGCCTTGATCCTTGTTGCGGCATATCAGTCCAACCGAGGGATTGCATTCAACCTTTTGACCTAGGTCGGCCAAAGGAACATCAAATCTTTCTTTGGCTCTGCATTGTACTTCCTTGGGTTTACTGCAAATATCTATGGTTTCGAAATCTCCTCCTTCTGGTCCAATTGAAGGATAATGTTTGTCAATCCAGGTTGACCATTCACAGATCAGGCAGTGTGGAGTAGAAGTGGGTGGAGTGGTTGGTGTTGAAGTAGGGGTTGTTGTGGGGGTAGGGGTTGTTGTGGTTGTTGTTGGGGTAGTGGTAGGGGTTGTTGTGGGTGTTGTTGTGGTAGGGGCTTTGGTGGTGGCTGTTGTCGTTTCCTCAGAGGTAGTCGTAGATGGGGTTGTTGTTGTGGTAGTAGTTGGGGTAGTGGTAGGGGTTGTTGTGGGTGTTGTTGATTCTGGACCAGTTGTAATTTCTTGTGTTGTTTCACTTGTTGTGGAATACGCTGTTGTCTTAGTAGTTGTTGGACTTTCTGTGGTGGTTGTTGTTGTAGTAGTTGTTGTTGTTGGTGTAGTGGTTGTTGTGGGTGTTGTTGATTCTGGACCAGTTGTAAATTCCTCTGTTACTGTTGTTGTTGTGGATGGGGTTGTTGTCTTAGTTGTGGTTGTTGGACTTTCTGTGGTGCTTGTTGTTGGGGTAGTTGTTGTTGTTGTTGTTGGGGTAGTGGGTGTTGTTGTTGTTGGTTGTGTAGTGGTAGGGGTTGTTGTTGGGGAAGTGGGTGTTGTTGTTGGTGGTGGTGTAATGGTTGTTGTGGGGGTAGGGGTTGTTATTGTGGTTGTTGTTGGGGTCGTTGTTGTCGTTTCCTCAGAGGTAGTCGTAGATGGGGTTGTTGTTGTGGTAGTAGTTGGGGTAGTGGTAGGGTTTGTTGTGGTTGTTGTTGATTCTGGACCAGTTGTAATTTCTTCTGTTGTTTCACTTGTTGTGGAATACGCTGTTGTCTTAGTAGTTGTTGTGGTTGTAGTAGTAGTAGTTGTTGTTGTTGGTGTAGTGGTTGTTGTGGGTGTTGTTGGTGTAGTGGTTGTTGTGGGTGTTGTTGGTGTAGTGGGTGTTGTGGGTGTTGTTGGTGTAATGGTTGTTGTTGTTGTAAGGGTTGTTGATTCTGGACCAGTTGTAAATTCCTCTGTTACTGTTGTTGTTGTGGATGGGGTTGTTGTCTTAGTTGTGGTTGTTGGACTTTCTGTGGTGCTTGTTGTTGGGGTAGTTGTTGTTGTTGTTGGGGTAGTGGTAGGGGTTGTTGTTGGGGTAGTGGGTGTTGTTGTTGTTGTTGGTGTAATGGTTGTTGTGGGGGTAGGGGTTGTTATTGTGGTTGTTGTTGGGGTAGTTGTTGGCCTAGTGGTTGTTATTTCAGTGGTAGTAGGTGTTGTGGGCCTTTCTGAGGTGGTAGTTGTCCCACAAACAACACAACATTTGACTCTGATTTCATAGTTGTAGCATATTGGTGGGATGCCTTGATCCTTGTTGCGGCATATCAGTCCAACCGAGGAATTGCATTCAACCTTTTGACCTAGGTCGGCCAAAGGAACATCAATGTTTTCTTTGGCTCTGCATTGTACTTCCTTGGGTTCAATGCAAATATCTATGGTTTCGAAATCTCCTCCTTCTGGTCCAATTGAAGGATAATGTTTGTCAATCCAGTCTGACCATTCACAGATCAGGCAGTGTGGAGTAGAAGTGGGTGGAGTGGTTGGTGTTGAAGTAGGGGTTGTTGTGGGGCTAGGGGTTGTTGGGGTAGTGGTAGGGGTTGTTGTTGGGGTAGTGGGTGTTGTTGTTGGTGTAATGGTTGTTGTGGGGGTAGGGGTTGTTATTATGGTTGTTGTTGGGGTAGTTGTTGGCCTAGTGGTTGTTATTTCAGTGGTAGTAGGTGTTGTGGGCCTTTCTGAGGTGGTAGTTGTCCCACAAACAACACAACATTTGACTCTGATTTCATAGTTGTAGCATATTGGTGGGATGCCTTGATCCTTGTTGCGGCATATCAGTCCAACCGAGGAATTGCATTCAACCTTTTGACCTAGGTCGGCCAAAGGAACATCAATGAATTCTTTGGCTCTGCATTGTACTTCCTTGGGTTCACTGCAAATATCTATGGTTTCGAAATCTCCTCCTTCTGGTCCATTTGAACGATAATGTTTGTCAATCCAGTCTGACCATTCACAGATCAGGCAGTGTGGAGTAGAAGTGGGTGGAGTGGTTGGTGTTGAAGTAGGGGTTGTTGTGGGGCTAGGGGTTGTTGTTGTGGTTGTTGGGGTAGTGGTAGGGGTTGTTGTTGGGGTAGTGGGTGTTGTTGTTGTTGTTGGTGTAATGGTTGTTGTGGGGGTAGGGGTTGTTATTGTGGTTGTTGTTGGGGTAGTTGTTGGCCTAGTGGTTGTTATTTCAGTGGTAGTAGGTGTTGTGGGCCTTTCTGAGGTGGTAGTTGTCCCACAAACAACACAACATTTGACTCTGATTTCATAGTTGTAGCATATTGGTGGGATGCCTTGATCCTTGTTGCGGCATATCAGTCCAACCGAGGAATTGCATTCAACCTTTTGACCTAGGTCGGCCAAAGGAACATCAATGAATTCTTTGGCTCTGCATTGTACTTCCTTGGGTTCACTGCAAATATCTATGGTTTCGAAATCTCCTCCTTCTGGTCCATTTGAACGATAATGTTTGTCAATCCAGTCTGACCATTCACAGATCAGGCAGTGTGGAGTAGAAGTGGGGTGGAGTGGTTGGTGTTGAAGTAGGGGTTGTTGTGGGGCTAGGGGTTGTTGTTGTGGTTGTTGGGGTAGTGGTAGGGGTTGTTGTTGGGGTAGTGGGTGTTGTTGTTGTTGTTGGTGTAATGGTTGTTGTGGGGGTAGGGGTTGTTATTGTGGTTGTTGTTGGGGTAGTTGTTGGCCTAGTGGTTGTTATTTCAGTGGTAGTAGGTGTTGTGGGCCTTTCTGAGGTGGTAGTTGTCCCACAAACAACACAACATTTGACTCTGATTTCATAGTTGTAGCATATTGGTGGGATGCCTTGATCCTTGTTGCGGCATATCAGTCCAACCGAGGAATTGCATTCAACCTTTTGACCTAGGTCGGCCAAAGGAACATCAATGTTTTCTTTGGCTCTGCATTGTACTTCCTTGGGTTCAATGCAAATATCTATGGTTTCGAAATCTCCTCCTTCTGGTCCAATTGAAGGATAATGTTTGTCAATCCAGTCTGACCATTCACAGATCAGGCAGTGTGGAGTAGAAGTGGGTGGAGTGGTTGGTGTTGAAGTAGGGGTTGTTGTGGGGCTAGGGGTTGTTGTTGTGGTTGTTGGGGTAGTGGTAGGGGTTGTTGTTGGGGTAGTGGGTGTTGTTGTTGTTGTTGGTGTAATGGTTGTTGTGGGGGTAGGGGTTGTTATTGTGGTTGTTGTTGGGGTAGTTGTTGGCCTAGTGGTTGTTATTTCAGTGGTAGTAGGTGTTGTGGGCCTTTCTGAGGTGGTAGTTGTCCCACAAACAACACAACATTTGACTCTGATTTCATAGTTGTAGCATATTGGTGGGATGCCTTGATCCTTGTTGCGGCATATCAGTCCAACCGAGGAATTGCATTCAACCTTTTGACCTAGGTCGGCCAAAGGAACATCAATGAATTCTTTGGCTCTGCATTGTACTTCCTTGGGTTCACTGCAAATATCTATGGTTTCGAAATCTCCTCCTTCTGGTCCATTTGAACGATAATGTTTGTCAATCCAGTCTGACCATTCACAGATCAGGCAGTGTGGAGTAGAAGTGGGTGGAGTGGTTGGTGTTGAAGTGAGGGTTGTTGTGGGGGTAGTGGTAGGTTTTGTTGTTGAGGTAGTCGTAGTAGTTGTTGGGTTAGTGGTAGGAGTTGTTGTTTGGGCAGTGGTAGGAGTTGAGAAAACAAATACTGTTGTGGTCGGTGCTTGGGTGGATATTTGTGTTGTTGTAACACTTGGTGTAGTTGTTGGAGTTGTGGTGCCGATACAGGGTTTCATATTCCGGACAATGGTTCCGTTGGTTTTGCAGATGGCAGTAATACAGGTCCCATCACCGTCAGATGTGTGATATACGATAGCTCCATACGGGTATGTTCTGCCGTCGTATATACAATAGCAGGCTGCAATATGATTTTCACAGTGAACAAGTTATTATCATGTAATCATCTTGTCATGTTACCTTCTTGGTAATGTAGGCTAATGTTTCAGTTTGTAACAGTTTTCCTTACCTTCGATATCATAGCTGCAATTGGCCTTAGTTGATGAGCAAAGACTTGAAAAAGAAAGCAGGGGGTTTTAGTACCTTTGAAAGTCGAATAAGATGTTATTTGTTATGATTTGAAAGCACTGTTATATGTTTACATTTACATTTTAGTCATTTAGCAGACGCTCTTATCCAGAGCGACTTACAGTTAGTGAATACATATTTTTTTATACTGGCCCCCCGTGGGAATCGAACCCACAACCCTGGCGTTGCAAACGCCATGCTCTATCAACTGAGCTACATCCCGGCCGGCCATTCCCTCCCCTACCCTGGACGACGCTGGGTCAATTGTGCGCCGCCCATGAGTCTCCCGGTCGCGGCCAGCTGCGACAGCGCCTGGATTCGAACCAGGATCTCTAGTGGCACAGTTAGCACTGCGATGCAGTGCCTTAGACCACTGCGCCACTCAGGAGTATGTTCACAATAAGGTATTAACAGGTCAGATCCCAATAAGGTATTAAGAGGTCAAATCCCAATAAGGTATTAACAGGTCAGATCCAAATAAGGTATTAACAGGTCAGATCCCAATAAGGTATTAACATATCAGATCCCAATAAGGTATTAACAGGTCAAATCCCAATAAGGTATAAAGAGGTCAGATCCCAATAAGGTATTAACAGGTCAAATCCCAATAAGGTATTAACAGGTCAAATCCCAATAAGGTATTAACAGGTCAAATCCCAATAAGGTATTAACAGGTCAAATCCCAATAAGGTATTAACAGGTCAAATCCCAATACGCTATTAACAGGTCAAATCCCAATAAGATATTAACAGGTCAAATCCCAATCTTTGAAAAGCTAAATCAGTTGAATGGTAGGAAAACGTCTTTGTAGGGGGACCATTGACATCGCCTTATCTCACCAGAAACATAGGTATATAGAAATATACCAACCATGTTAAATACTATGTAATGTAAATACAGTATCTATGTATATGTCAAAATGCTGATATAAAAACATACCATCTCTGACAGTTCTCCTTGGAAGGTATAACGTCATCCTCGTTGTAATGTGTTCCATCTCCATCGTAGCAACCACACTTCTTGATAGGGACACACTTCATGGTACTTTCTTCTAAATAAGGCTGGTCCGGAGGACATTTTGGATAGCAACCTTTAAGATAAACAGTCAATTTAATCCAGGACACCTGCACAGATTAGATCATGCTCATGGTATCTAGTTCTAACACCAAAGCTGGATACGATATTTAAATATTTTGTGTTTAGTTTTTCAGTATAGATAGACAAGGGAGGGAGAGTCATTACATATTTTATACTGTACATTTGTTTTACAACTTGCCATGTAATATGGTCTAAATCAAAGGCCCAAGCTGTTATGAAGGGCTATTAGTTACCTTCCAGTGCAGGGATCTGACTGGAGCATGTTCCTGAGGGATTCCTGCAGGTCTTCATACAGGGGTCTCCACACGGCTGATAATGCCACTCACACTCACCAATAGGGTTGTAGAAATCACAGAACAGAGCTGGGGAAATTAAAACATGTTACATTTTAACCAGGGTCCCAAAAGAGGAATGATTAAACAGTTACACATACAAATCACAAGGTGGTATTTCGCCCCCCTTAGCAAAAACAATCCCACCTATCCATCAATCAATTGTCCCACTCAAAGCAAATGACTCACGGCAGATATCTGGTGTTCTCCACCTGATACAAGCCCCTGCCTCGTTGCAGGCCTGGGCGTAGGCTGCTACAGCGGTACAGAAACATTCGCAGTCTCCCCCAGTGTCACAGGCACACGAGTCCCTCACACAGGCATCATGGAATGGGGTGGGGTCCACCTTTTAGGAAGATGCATTTAGCCATCATTTATTTGTTCAATGCATTGCCTTGCTTGTTGAACAGACTACAGATGAACTCCCGATGATGATGATGATGATGATGATGATGATTGGGTTTGGATGGTTTACTTTATGTTTTTGTTCTCTGTTTATTGCTACTTTTATTGTTGGCTGTTGTCTTTTTTTGGTGACTGTGTGTGCATTCACATTCACATGATTATTGACAAACCAATTTTATTAGAAAGATTGCCATGTACCATCATGCAACTTTGCTTGTCATTGTGTACCTTATAGAAAACCTGTAAAATCAAATCAAATCAAATCAAACTCTAGAAAACCAGTAAGCCCAAGACTTGTGCTACAGAATTATCGGTTGTTATAATTTCCACCATATGGTTTTTATTATGACCTTGAGGCTGTGAAGTCTATGAACTCTTGTTGAAGCATTAACCATATTGACCCCGAGGCTGTGAGGTCTATGAACTCTTGTTGAAGCATTAACCATATTGACCCTGTGAGGTCTATGAACTCTTGTTGAAGCATTAACCATATTGACCCTGAGCCTGTGAAGTCTATGAACTCTTGTTGAAGCATTAACCATATTGACCCCGAGGCTGTGAAGTCTATGAACTCTTGTTGAAGCATTAACCATATTGACCCTGAGGCTGTGAGGTCTATGAACTCTTGTTGAAGCATTAACCATATTGACCCTGAGCCTGTGAAGTCTATGAACTCTTGTTGAAGCATTAACCATATTGACCCTGTGAAGTCTATGAACTCTTGTTGAAGCCTTAACTATATTATTGTACTTATGCACTGTCACTATGGCTGCGTTTACACAGGCAGTCCAATTCAGATATTTTACCAATTATTTGTATATCTGATACCTATCTGATCTTGTCCTTAATGTGTAAACAGCAACAACAACAAAAAAAAACATGGAATCTGATCTTTTGAGCTCTGATTTATACCACTTCCATATGTGGATCTCAACCCTGATTCAAACCCGATTCTCCATGCGACCTGCTCAGATCTGATGTTTTTTTCTCTAAAGTGGGGGTTTTGCACATGACCTTTTTTTTTTTTTTTTTTTTTTTTTTTTTATTATTTTTTTTTTTATTTTTTTTTTAGTCATTTAGCAGACGCTCTTATCCAGAGCGACTTACAGGAGCAATTAGGGTTAAGTGCCTTGCTCAAGATCACAACGACAGATTTTTCGCCTAGTCGGCTCGGGGATTAGAACCAGCGACCTTTCGGTTACTGGCACAACGCTCTTACCCACTAAGCTACCTGCCGCCCCAAATGACCTGCCATTACCATGACAACCACCCCAAAATGTAAAAGACAGGAAATAAGCATTGCATCTTTGTGCTAAAGATATCTTCAGAGGCTACAACCTGAGGTTTCTTATATCTCCTAAATATACGTCAGACACTTCAAAACTTCATTCCTTATGATTTATTTTTTGACTGTATTTTTTTTTGCCATTTATGAAAGTGTTATTCAATGTGTTTCTATGGGCTACAGTAGTAAAGGCCAAATTCAATATTTTATCAAATATTTTTTATATATATTTTTTTGAAACCTAAAGGGGTCCTACATTTCTAAATCAAATAGCTAAATGATCAATGGTATGACCATCTTAAAACAATTCCATATGTAACCCCCCCCCCAGAATGTATCTGCTGTACTCTCTATTGTATGTATAGGTTATGCAAATGAACGTATCTACATCTGTATCTTTTTGTCTTTGTTTTTTGAGCTGCACTACGTCAACTTCCTAACAACTTTGGTTGGTATGGCAATAAAGTGTTGAATCTATCTTGACTAGTTTCTGCTGTTTACTGTACCTCTGAGTGGCAGGCTGCGAACACTTTACTGGTGATGATGCTGCAACGTTTCAGAGACCAGGACTCCCTGTATGATCTTAAAGCGCATGGGTTCTTTATGACATCAGCGTTGGGGCAACTAGTTGACACTTTCCAGCTGTTCCCAAACTCCAGAGCGTCAACAACCACTTCCTGGTTTCTGGACGTGAAGTCGTTCTTTCCATTACCGTCGTAGTTTCCACACAGACCACACACTTGGCCCTGGAAGGAGAGAACATGGTTAATATAACATCACATGTTTAATTATGAGTACACTCCCCTATTCCCTTTGATCAATTGCTAAACAAATATACAGTGCAGTCACTGGTTGAATATGTCCTATTCTAGTCACTCACCTGGAAAGTCGAGCTGAGTTTGATAAACAGGCTATTCTTCTTATCCCACATGAGGATCAGGCCATTTTCAGCCTCAACAACAACATACAGACCGATAGAGTGGACCTGGTATGGTACGTCTACCCCATTCTCTTGTTTGATCACTTTTACAGATTCATCTGCCAGTATGATCTCATTGTTCTGAAAGAAAGAAACAGAATGTGTTCATTTTATTGCTAATGTAAGACTAGTAGACAGGGTTACACTATCCAGGGTTACACTATCCAGGGTTACACTATCCAGGGTTACACTATCCAGGGTTACACTGTCCAGGGTTACACTATCCAGGGTTAAACTAAAAATCCAGGGGTTACACTGTCCAGGGGTTACACTATCCAGGGTTACACTATCCAGGGTTAAACTATCCAGGGTTACACTGTCCAGGGTTACACTATCCAGGGTTACACTATCCAGGGTTACACTGTCCAGGGTTACACTATCCAGGGTTACACTATCCAGGGTTACACTGTCCAGGGTTACACTATCCAGGGTTAACTATCCAGGGTTACACTGTCCAGGTTCACTATCCAGGGTTACACTATCCAGGGTTACCACTGTCCAGGGTTACACTATCCAGGGTTAAACTGTCCAGGGTTACACACTACCAGGGTTAAACTGTCCAGGGTTACACTATCCAGGGTTTACACTATCCAGGTTTACACTGTCCAGGTTACACTGTCCAGGGTTACACTATCCAGGGTTACCTATCCAGGGTTACACCAGGGTTAGCCTGTCCCAGGGTTACACTATCCAGGGTTACACTAGTCCAGGGTTACACTATCCAGGGTTACACTATCCAGGGTTACACTATCCAGGGTTACATATCCAGGTCACTGTCAGGGTTACACTATCCAGGGTTACACTATCCAGGTTCACTATCAGGGTTACACTATCCAGGGTTACACATCCAGGTTACATTCCAGGGTTACACTGTCCAGGGTTACACTATCCAGGGTTACACTATCCAGGGTTACACTATCCAGGGTTACACTATCCAGGGTTACACTATCCAGGGTTACACTATCCAGGGTTACACTATCCAGGGTTACACTATCCAGGGTTACACTGTCCAGGGTTACACTATCCAGGGTTACACTATCCAGGGTTACACTTCCAGGGTTACACTTCCAGGGTTACACTATCCAGGGTTACACTGTCCAGGGTTACACTATCCAGGGTTACACTTCCAGGGTTACACTATCCAGGGTTACACTGTCCAGGGTTACACTTCCAGGGTTACACTATGGTCCCCAGGGTTACACTATCCAGGGTTCATATCCAGGTTACACTGTCCAGGGTTACACTGTCCAGGGTTACACTATCCAGGGTTACACTATCCAGGGTTACACTGTCCAGGGTTACACTATCCAGGGTTACACTGTCCAGGGTTACACTGTCCAGGGTTACACTATCCAGGGTTACACTGTCCAGGGTTACACTGTCCAGGGTTACACTATCCAGGGTTACACTATCCAGGGTTACACTATCCAGGGTTACACTATCCAGGGTTACACTATCCAGGGTTACACTGTCCAGGGTTACACTATCCAGGGTTACACTGTCCAGGGTTACACTGTCCAGGGTTACACTGTCCAGGGTTACACTATCCAGGGTTACACTGTCCAGGGTTACACTATCCAGGGTTACACTATCCAGGGTTACACTGTCCAGGGTTACACTGTCCAGGGTTACACTATCCAGGGTTACACTATCCAGGGTTACACTATCCAGGGTTACACTATCCAGGGTTACACTATCCAGGGTTACACTATCCAGGGTTACACTATCCAGGGTTACAATGTGGTGGTGCTGGGTTTTACACTACCCAGTTTGTACACAGATACAACATGTCGATTTTAAATTCTAATGTAACAAATACATATGGGGGTTTTGTGCTGCTATCAATTCTGCTCGAATACAATTCTAAGCAGGCACTCTGTCAGTCAATCTAGCCTGCTAGCAAAAACGCATAGACTTCAGCAATGCAATTACATTCGCTGCCACCGCCGTCGACATTGTGCCAAATGTCCGGACTTGTCTATTACACCTTTAATGCATTTATGAAGCCGTTTATGAACAGTGGTTCCTACCCCCAAGAAGAGCTTGATGGCCTTGGAACAGGTGGTGCCAGTGGTTCCACAGGGAATGTTCTCCGTGATCACTCTAAAGGTACCGTTTGGATTGTTGCTGCAGTAATCCTGCAGGATGTATTACAACAAAGAATCAGAAAACCTTTACCGCTTAGTTATTATCATTACTATATATTGATCAATAATTAGAAAATATGTGGACCGTACATAAAGTAGGGTTTTTATTAAAATACAAAATCAAATCAAAGTATTGTTCCTTAATCATAAATGCTAATGAGTATTGCCCTACCTGAGTAAGAGTGTATTCACAATCTCCATTGAAAGTGAACCTTTCCTCATCAAAAGTGATGAAATGCCCATCCCCATATATGGCACACATCCCATCACACTGGTTATTGGTACAATGCCATTTCCTCCCTTTGCAAGTGCTACAGTGATGCAAACATGATCACATGTCAAGATTATAGAGGGAAACATTTGACACTTGTATTTGAAAATATCCAAAAGAGGAAGAGGAGGGGCAGAAGCCGATGTTACCAGGTATTGCAGTCTACTTTGAGTGTCTGTCCAGGTTGGTAGTAGACTCCATTGTGAGAACAGGGACATAGGTCCTCCTCGATGCATCCTCCATTTCCATCAGACAGCAGACCAGCAGGACAAACACAGCCTGATACACAGTCTGCACTGATCTGGAACACACAATGAAATGACATGAAATAGGGAAGGACTGATATTTAAGTTGACAGTGTGCCTGTATGTCCCTGGGAATGACATGTGGGCATTATTTGTCAAATGGATCAAGTGTTTTTAAAGGACTTTTAAAGATGATCTCCTTGATGTTCATGGAGATCAGGTTCTCTGTAAACATTACAGATGTCTGCTCAAACAGAAACCTTCTAAAAAGTCAATCTCAGTGCACCATCGGAGGATGTCGTTTGGATCCTGGGCCTAGCTATGTCTAAGGTTATAAATAATTTGATCAATCTGAGACTGTGGTAACATAACATTGTCCTTGTATGTTTTTATTAAAATGTGTTGTAAGGCATGTTTTTATTAAACGTGTTGTAAGGCATGTTTTTATTAAACGTGTTGTAAGGCATGTTTTTATTAAACTTGTTGTAAGGCATGTTTTTATTAAACGTGTTGTAAGGCATGTTTTTATTAAACGTGTTGTAAGGCATGTTTTTATTAAACGTGTTGTAAGGCATGTTTTTATTAAACGTGTTGTAAGGCATGTTTTTATTAAACGTGTTGTAAGGCATGTTTTTATTAAACGTGTTGTAAGGCATGTTTTTATTAAACGTGTTGTAAGGCATGTCCCATTGTAGACTTACACATTGACTGTCTAGTGTTTGACAGCTCTTCTGGCACTCTGAGCCCTTGGCTCCGGGACCTGCACTGGAGCAGTTGAAGAAACCCATTGGTTCTTCACAGGCTGTAGGGACCAAAAGTAGGCTTTATAGGTTAGTAGGGACTCAACTTCCTTGTTCATGACTGAATTATAGAGTCTTGGTTGTGAAGTGATTTGCTGTATTTGGCAAATAAAGATGTGTTTCCGAATTTCGTCGTACTCACATGAATGTTTTTGTTCTCCAACACAGCTTAATTTCCCATGTCTGCATGAGCTGGTGGTTAAGAGGGGTACAAGAGGAGGGGGTTAAGCATGGTTTAGCATGCCTCTTGCAGTAAACCAAGACTTGAGAAGAAGACAGTCGATTTCTAAATATTTGAATAGAGCCACGACAAAGAAGACCATCTGATTTTCTGAGATTTTCTTTCACATGCCAAGCAAGTCCTCACCAAGTAGCCCCATAGATCCTGGTGGCCTCTCCAGGGGGTACTACCGTGCCTCCATAGTAGCAGGAGCAGAGTGAGGCAGGGACACAGTCTCCCTGGTCATTCAGGTAGGTTCCCTCTGCACAGCCACAGCCATCCACAGGCACATGGTCTAACTGTTCAATTCAATTAAAAAACGTTATTTTATCCCTGAGGGGAAATTACTTTGGGCATGTCTGCAACTACAACAACAACATACACAACAACAACAAGACAACAACAGCAAAACCACAACAAAGACAACAACAACATACACAACAACAAGACAACAACAACATACACAACAACAACAACAACAACAAGACAACAACACACACAACAACAAGAACATACACAACAACAACAACAACAACAACAACAACAAGACAACAACAATCTTAGACACCAAGACATTAATAAAATGAATAATAATAATAATATTAAATAAATAAAAGTGATAGAAATGAGATGTCCATGTGAATGTACCTGGCAGGTAAAGTCTGGCTGGCTCAGTGAACGACAGGTGCGGTCACAGCTGGTCATGGTGTAGTCATAGACCATTGTGTCGGGGCAGAGAGAGGTGTACTTCCCTGTGGAAACAGTATGGTGATTCAACATTTCATTATATGTTTTGGGGTATTTCTTTTATTTTGTTTTAAAATAAGAGGGTAAACCCTGAACACTGTGGGTAAATAGGAGGGGAAACCCTGAACACTGTGGGTAAATAGGAGGGGAAACCCTGAACACAGTGGGTTAATATAAAGGGGAAACCCTGAACACAGTGGGTTAATATAAGGGGAAACCCTGAACACAGTGGGTTAATATAAGGGGAAACCCTGAACACAGTGGGTTAATATAAAGGGGAAACCCTGAACACAGTGGGTTACTATAAAGGGAAACCCTGAACACAGTGGGTTAATATAAAGGGGAAACCCTGAACACAGTGGGTTAATATAAGGGGAAACCCTGAACACAGTGGGTTAATATAAGTGGAAACCCTTCATTCATTCATTAATTCATTTTGGGGGTTCTCTGATGTTTATCTTACCACAGGTGGTGTTTCTCCATCCATTGAGCAGGACACCTGCAGCAGCACATGCACGGACATAGGAGGAGACCGCAGCACACATGCACTCCTCACTCCTCTCACAGTTACAGCTGTCATATAGGCAGATCTATAGGGAGAGAAGAAGAAGAAGAAGAAGAAGAAGAAGAAGAAGAAGAAGAAGAAGAAGAAGAAGAAGAAGAAGAAGAAGAAGAAGAAGAAGAAGAAGAAGAAGAAGAAGAAGAAGAAGAAGAAGAAGAAGAAGGAGAAGAAGAAGAAGGAGAAGGAGAAGGGGAAATAGAAGATAGTTCAGTTATGTGATTTGTTAATGAAGAAAACTACTGTTTTCTGAAATCACACACAAGCACAGGACAATACTATTTGAAAACATCTTGAAAAATCTGATGACATGTTTTGAGATCTACATTAGGTTACATTTAGTAATACATTAAAATGATACATTTTAATATAGAACTTCTTGAATGATAGAGCTTTGGGATAACTCTGTAATTAAAGAGCATTTGACAAATTAAAATCATCATACTTACTTCCTTGTAGTACTTTGGGTTGATCTCAGTGTGGCATTGGGAAAATATTCCTGCAGGATCTGACAGCATCGAGCACCAGTGCTTGGCATATCTCTCTGTAAAACATAGGAGATATGAGCAACATTTAACATTTAAGCACAAAGTACAAAGAGTTTTTATCTAGGCTTTACTGTGCATCTCAGTAGACATACGTAAGTGTCATCCCCAAAAAGTGTCCCAAGGCCTTGATAAAGGCTCTCTACGCCGAAACATAAGCAAACAATACAAATGTTTAGTTAGAAAATAAACTCTGATCTATGCACAGAGTGATGCTTTTTCTACCACTGGGGTAGAGTGATCCTTTTTCTACCACTGGGGTAGAGTGGCCTTTTTTTGACCCCAGATGGATGGATTATCTTGGCAAAGGAGAAATGCTCACTGACAGGGATTTAAACAAATTTGTGCACCAAATTTAAGAGAAATACGTTTTTGTGTTTATGGAACATTTCTGGGATCTTTTATTTCAGCTCATGAAACATGGGACCAACACTTGTCATGTTTTGCGTTTATATTTTGTTCAGTGTATATACTTTGGGGTATTTTGGAAATTCTCCCGCGACCCTTTTTTCATATCAGGCGACCCCACATGGGTTCACGACCCCTAGTTTGAGAACCGCTGCATTAGACATACGTTAGTGTTTTTAAAGAGGTCGAAGGAGTACCGTTCTCTACACTCAGACTGCATGGGATCTCAAAGTTCTGTGTCACATCAGGGCAGCTTGCTTTGGTCTTCCACGTGTTGGCGAACGTCACAGCGGTTCCTTCCACCAGTCCATTGATGGTTCTGAAGTCGTCAGCTTGGACGCTGTTAAAGTCTCCGCAAAGACCTGGATAAGAGGTACAAAACAATATAACAGATTCATTAAAGTGGTTAAAACTAACATTGACTAAAGATGCAATGCATCAAGTATTGTTAGTTTATTAATAATTGTTTCAGGTGAGGTTTGACTGAACCCCCCCCAAACAAGTGGTATATTACAATAACAATAGTTTGACAACCAATCAGCTTTTATAATAACAATGCATGGGATTTATATAGCGCTTTTCAAAGACCCAAAGACGCTTATCTTCCACGAAGACGTTGAATGAACTGAGAGAAACATACCCTGGGTTTGTTCCTTGTGGGAGCTGCTAGCTATGATGTAGACCTGCATTATAGGTGTTAGCTGGACCTCTAGACGCAGCCCATAAGAGGTATGCACAACGATGTAGAACGTAGAGGGCTGAAAGATTGTTACATTCGCTGTGGAAAATATACACAAGTTCTAGTCACAATCTGGTGGACCATTAACTTTTAGCTCCCCCGTTGTGTTGTGGGATGCTATTGGTGTTACATGATGCTAAGAAAAAAGAGACAACTCAATGGGTGACATGTCTGGTGGGTTTCAAACAGAAGTTTATACTGATTCATGACAAAAATAAAATAGACAGATATCACATTTCTGTATCCCTTTTCTCAAGTTGCCATCAAGCAGTAACTCACCCATGAAAAGCGGCAACTGAGAAAACATCTTGTTGACAAAGACCCTTCCACTGGCCTTGATGACGACCGAGAGACTCCCCTGGTGATAAGGAGTGTGGAGTCAATTCCATTCAATACAGAAAGTAAACATTTACATTTACATTTTAGTCATTTAGCAGAAACTCTTATCCAGAGCCTAATTCCAATACCAATTCCAAATGTTCCTCACTGAAAAACAATGAAGAGAATTGGAATTGGGATTTCAGTTTACTGCCTGAATTGACTGGAATTGAAATAGAATTGGCCCTGAAGTGGTGATAAGAGTTACTGGCAGCAGGAGAAGTCTCAACGTTGAGCTTTTTTTCTCTAAACATATACAACATGGTTTGATGTTGATATATTTTAATATGACACTATCAGGTGGGTGTGTCACTGCAGAGAGGCTAACTTACCTTGGACTCTGGAATCACCAGGGTCACAGCCTTTAGGCAGGTCTCAGTGTCCGTATTTCCACATTTCACTATGTCACCCAGGACTGTGAAAGCAGTGTTGTTGGTTTGCTGGGGACAATTGGCACAAGGTATGACAGTAAAGTTAAGGAAACTCATTTTTTTTTAACACACTACTTACTACTTGCATACTTTCAGTTCTAGGGAATTACAGTTCCTTCAGAATGTATTCATACCCCTTGACTTATTCTGCATTTTGTTGTCTTACAACCTGAATTAAATAATAATAATAATAAGAAGAAGAAGAAGAAGAAAATAAAATAAAAAAGGGATATTCAATGTCTGCTTTTTAAATTTGTACCCATCTACCAATAGGTGCCCTTCTTTGCGAGGCATTGGAAAACCTCCCTGGTCTTTGTGGTTGAACCTGTGTTTGAAATTGACTGCACGACTGAGGGACCTTACAGATAATTGTATGTGTGGAGTACAGAGATGAGGTAGTCACTCAAAAATCATGTTAAACACTATTATTGCACACAGAGTGAGTCCATGCAATATATTATGTGACTTGTTAAGCACATTTTTACTCCTGAACTTAAGGTTTGCCATAATAAAGGGGTTGAATACTTATTGACTCGACATTTCAGCTTTTTCTTTTAAATTAATTTTTGAAAAACATAATTCCACTTTGACATTATGGGATATTGTGTGTAGGCCAGTGACAAAAAAAACACACTATTTAATCCATTTTTAATTCAGGCTGTTACACAACAAAATGTTGAAAAGTTCAAGGGGTGTGAATGGAGGCAGTGTATATTATGGTGCAACTTGATAGAAAAGTTAGATATTATTTATGAGATGAATATGGATAGTGAGAGCAATGGTATGTACAAGCACCGCCAATGCAAGTGGATGCCACCGGTCGGCCGCAATCTATGCCGGATGTGGCCCGCTCGTGGGCCAGTACATGTTCGCTTGCGAGTCAGGAGTTAAATCTACTAAACATACAGTATGCATTAGTATGGAGACATATCAGTGCCAACTGAAATGGAATCTGAATTTAATAATTTGTGTTAAGAAATCAAATTTGTATTCAATATTTCTGTTGGCACTAATATCACTCCATACGTTAGTTTAGATCCCTACCTTGGACATACAGCGGGAGCAGTCTCCATACGTTAGTTTAGATCCCTACCTTGGACATACAGCGGGAGCAGTCTCCATACGTTAGTTTAGATCCCTACCTTGGACATACAGCGGGAGCAGTCTCCATACGTTAGTTTAGATCCTACCTTGGACATACAGCGGGAGCAGTCTCCATACGTTAGTTTAGATCCCTACCTTGGACATACAGCGGGAGCAGTCTCCATATGTTAGTTTAGATCCCTACCTTGGACAGGACATAGGAGCAGTCTCCATACGTTAGTTTAGATCCCTACCTTGGACATACAGCGGGAGCAGTCTCCATACGTTAGTTTAGATCCCTACCTTGGACAATACAGCGGGACAGTCTCCATACGTTAGTTTAGATCCCTACCTTGGACATACAGCGGAGCAGTCTCCATACGTTAGTTTAGATCCCTACCTTGGACATACAGCAGGAGCAGTCTCCATACGTTAGTTTAGATCCCTACCTTGGACATACAGCGGGAGCAGTCTCCATACGTTAGTTTAGATCCCTACCTTGGACATACAGCGGGAGCAGTCTCCATACGTTAGTTTAGATCCATACCTTTGACCATACACAGGGAGCAGTCTCCATACGTTATTTAGATCCCTACCTTGGACATACAGCGGGAGCAGTCTCCATACGTTAGTTTAGATCCCTACCTTGGACATACAGCGGGAGCAGTCTCCATACGTTAGTTAGATCCCTACCTTGGACATACAGCGGGAGCATCCCATACGTTAGTTTAGACCCCTACCTTGGAAACAGGGGAGCAGTCTCCAAAAGTTATTTTAGCCCTATTTTGGACAACAGGGAGCAGTCTCCATATTTTATTTAGTCCCCCCTTGGACAGGACATATACAGTCCCCATAGTTTTTTAGATCCCAAATTTTGGACGGGACATATGAGCATCTCCTACTTATTTTAACCCCTCCTGGACGGCATATGACGTCTCCGGGAAGGGGTTAGCTTTCCCCCCATCAAGGTGGGATGGGGGAACCCCCTCCCACTAGGGACGGTAGTGGAAATCAGTCTGTACAACCCCCCTGGCCGGGGTTACAGTACAAAAGGAGAACAGTCATTTTTAGCCTACACACCACACAAGACACACCGCCACATCCAGCTCAACACCATAGACACAAAGCACCCCCCGCTCAACCCACCCACTAAAAACCCACCAGCCCCCACCCAGTCACACACCACTAAACACACCGCACACATCCGCCCCAACACACCCCTCAACACAATCCAGGCTCAACACATCCGGCTCAACACATCCGCTCACACATCCACTCAACACATCCAGCTCAACACATCCGGCTCGACACATCCGGCTCGACACATCCGGCTCAACACATCCAGGCCTCAACACATCCGGCTCAACACATCCAGCTCAACACATCCGGCTCAACACATCCGGCTCGCACACACACACAATAATTCAGTGTATATAAATACAGTGCAGCTCTTACCATGTCTGGCATGTTCTTGAGAATGATTGTCCAGGCTGGTAAGACTGTCCGTGTGGAGACAAGAGCACTGGTTTCACAGCTACACAGCCAGTTCAGATTGAGGTCATCAAACACGGTTCCTATAGAAAGGCATTCCAATAACATTTAGTCACCTGGTTCCATAAATTACATTCAATACATTTAGTCACCTGGTTCCATAAATTACATTCAATACATTTAGTCACCTGGTTCCATAAATTACAATAAGTACATTTAGTCACCTGGTTCCATAAATGACATTAAATACATTTAGTCACCTTGTTCCATGAATGAAATTAAATACATTTAAGTCACCTGGTTCCATAAATGACATTAAATACATTTAGTCACCTGGTTTCCTAAAAAATTTAAATAATTTAGTCCCTTTTTCCAAATAAAAAATTTTAAACCCCATTAAAAAACATTATCACCTGTTCCCAAATAATTAAACAAGCCCTTTTAAAAAACTTCCTCAGTTCCGGGCCCAAAAAAGAATACTGCAAAGCGCTGCCGCTCCACGCCTCCCCCCTATTTGAGAAATGAAAAACCTCACCCCCCCCCCTAACAACAAGACCCTTACGAAAATCCCAAAGCAGCCTCCCCTTTTAAATTGGGAAGAAAAGGGCATTTTTAGCTTTTTATGCACTGAAAAAAATGATCACGTGGGGCCCCCCAATTTTGCCCCTTGGGGGGGGAAAATAGGGTGGAATGTTTGAAAACAAAAATAAAACCCCAAAAGGTTTTTTCGAGAAAATGGGGAAGGAAAAGGGAGGCAATTCAAAGGGGGTTGGGGCTAGGCCCCTTTGTCAATCAAAATGTTTAAACTAAAATTACAAAAAACACCAAACGGGCTTTAAAAGACATAAATAGACTGTGGTGAGTTACTTTTTTAATTGCAGTTGCCTGCATAAAGCAAGCTCCGCCCTGTGACTTCTATTGTCCAATTGCAGTGGTTGATGGGTAACGGAAAGTCGTTTTCAAACATATTTCATATTAAGTACAAGGTTGCTGCAGTTTGACGGAATTTTCATCCTCCCTAGGGCCAGGAGTTTTTCCAGAATTTCTTTAAAAACCATGTGCCCTGTTTAGAAAATATCTGCATACCAAAGCGGGCAGGTAGCCTATTGGTTAAGCGCATTGGGCCAGTAACTGAAAGGTCAATGGTTTGAATCCCTGACCTGACTAGGTGAAAATCTGTCAGTGTGCCCTTGAGCAAGGCACTTAATTAACCCAAACTGCTCCTGTAAGTTGCTCTGGGGGCAGTTTGTAAAACATGTGGGTCCAAAATCACTGATGCATTGAAATTGGCATTAAACACTTAACCTTTGACTTGAGGACTCGAAACCCCAAATTAGGGAGCTGAGCTGTGGAACTTGGGACTTACCCATTATTACTTGGGACTTGACTCGAGACTCGAAAGTTAAGACTTGAGACTTGCAAAATTGTGACTTGATCCCATCTCTGTTAAATCAGTGAGTGTGCAGTACCGGCAGGGCAGAAGCATCCGTCGGTGAGATCACATTTGTATATTTTTTATTGCTACTTTAAAAAAGTTACATTGCTGACGTATGATGTTGTATTCTGTATATTAGTGCATGTACCGGCAGGGCAGAAGCATCCGTCGGTGCAGTGTTCCTCACAATGCTGGTTCCTCTCTGGGTTGGAGCAGGTATCAGTGCAGGGACTAGCACACTCTGGTACTCCATGTTGAAAGGACACGTCTCCACTGCTCAACACAGACAAATAACCCCTAATCAAAAATTTTTCCAATCTTCATCTTCAGATTTTCCTTTTAGCCCCTTTTATTGACACAACTAAGTGAATTTTGGGTTTTGCCCTCGTTTTCCTCACGTAAAGTAAACCAGCTCTGGAAGAAAAGAAGACACTAAACGATGACCAAAAGGCAAAGCTTTTCAGAAACTGTTTACTTTGGTTCCCTCTTTTCCAAATAAAAAGACAAAACCGATTTCCCTTTTCACAGAACTTCCCCCCACTGTTGGGGTTTCCCCCCTCGTGAGCCAACTGGGGGAGTCTCACAGGTGGGGCAAAGCCAGGGACGGAGGGACGGGAAAAGCGGAAGGAAAAGGGGGGGAAAGAAGAAAGGGAGAAGGAAAAGCGGCCAAAAAGGAGAAAGAAAAGAGAAGAAGAAGAAGAAGAAAAAAAGAAAAAAGAAGAAGAAAAAAAAAGGAAAAAAGAAAAAAAAAGAAAAAAAAGCAAAAAAAAAAAAAAAAAAAAAAAAAGAAGAAAAAGAAAGAAAAGAAAAAAAATAAGAAGAAAAAGAAAAGGAAAAAATGGGAACAAAGAGCAAAAAAAAAATTTAATAAAACATAAGGGATTTGTACTATCAAATTCAGCCTGAGGATTTATATTGATATTTAACTGACATTCCAAATCTTAAAATCATTTTTTAAATGTAAAAAATAAAAATTTAAATTTCGCTCACTCTGACGGGTAAATACCTGTCTTCACACTGCTCCTTGGGGCCGGGGATTTTTAAAGGTCTCTGTTGGGCCTTCATCTTCCAAAGATCACCATAGTCGATTAGTTGAGATGAGCTCTGGGGGAAAAGAAAAAAGGTTTTATTATCGTCTCATGTGTTTTGGTTTTTTTTAAACCCTTTTAAAGGAAAATCTTTTTGGACCTTTTCCCCATAATTGAACCCACACATTTTGGAAAAGGAATCCCCCCCCCCCCCCTAAACATTTGGTGATTTTTTTACCATTCTTAAAAACCCATAATCTGGGCCCAAGCCCCCCCCCCAAAATTGTTCTAACTTAAACCCAAAAACCAAAATATTTTAAACCCGCAAATTTTCCTTTTTTAAAAGCCTGAAATCACCACACAATTTTATTGACCTTTTTAAAAAAGTTACATCCCCTACAGCATTAAAATTCCCTTTTTAAAAAGGTACAGCCCTACGCCCTTTCCTATGAATTGACATTTCCAAAAAACCCTTACATCATAAATTTGAATTTTCTTTACAAAGCCGTTACAACCCCCCAACGTTTTTTAAGATTTTTCCCACCACTGTTTTAAAACCCCAAATTATATGTTAATTTATAACCCTTAATGTAAACCCTTAATAAAATTTTTAAAAAACCCTTTAATTGATTTTAGCCGGGGGCCGGCTTTTTCCCAAACCCCCTCCTTGTTCCCCCTTTCCAACATTTCCCCCCTTTTTCATTTTTTAAAACCTTTTAAACTTTCAGTTTTTAAAAATTTTAAACCTTATTTTTTTTTAAAAAATTTTAAAATACATTTTAAAATTTTTTTTTTTTTCCATTTTTAAAACCTTTTAAAACCCCCCTTTTTGGGTTTAAAACCTTTTAAAATCTATCCCGGGGAAAAAAAAATTTTTTAAATCCCATTTTTAAAAAAATTTTTCCTTTTCAGTTGTTAAAATTTTAAATTCACATTTTTAAAAAACCCTTTTCCTTACATTTTTCCTTCCCTTCACCCCGTTTTTACCCACCCCAAAATTACTCCGAATTTTCCCCCCTTTTCCCAACATTTTAAACCCCTAACCCCCATCCCCCGGGACAAAATAAAAATTTTACCCACCCCAAATTTCCCCAGATATTTTCCCCCTTTCCCAACTTCCCCCCGTATTTCCCAAAAAAATTTTCCCCAAAAAGTTACTTTCCCCTTTAAATGAATTTTTACCCCCCAGTTTCCCAAACGTGTTTCCCACCCCCAAACCCCCCAAAAAAAAAGTTCCCCCCTTACCCAAATTCCCCTCCCTTTTATAACCCCCCTTATCCCACGTTCCCTAAAAATTTTTTTTATAAACCAAAAAGATTTTCCTACATTCCAAATATAACCTTTTTTAGACCGTAAGACAAAAATCAAAAAATTAAAAAATCTCTCCGGGTTCAAAAGTTTAAAAAAGAAAAAAACCGAATTTTGTAGTGGGGCAAAACCCTTAAATGGTCAAAAATCCCCCCAAAAAAAAAGTTTCACATCTAACCCCCCGTTTTGGTTTCCAAAAAACGGTCCCTTAATGAAATTAAAACACAAGGTATTGGGGCCCCGGGGAACCAAAAAAATTTTACAAATATTTTTTTAAAAGGGGGAACTTTCAAAAACTTAAAATTTTTACCTTGAAATTAAAAAAAATTTTTAAAACCCGATCCAGAATCCCGTTCCCCTTGGGAAACGTTTTTTTTTAAAACAAAAAAAATTCCCCTCCCGTTTAATAAAACAATTTTTAATGTATGAATTCTTTGTACAAAAGTAGCAACTGAATGCAATTGAAGCAAAAAAAAAAAAAAAAAAACTCTCCATTCGTTTTGTTTCCCTACAGTTTGATAAGATTGATCTCTGAATAACATTAATTCCATTGGATGTAGTTAAGTGGTAACAAAACCGCCTATAAGTTTGCTTCCTCTATTACAATTTATTTTACACTAATCTAAGAGCCAATGGTTTTGACACATCTAAGAGCCATTGTTGACTGAACTGTGAACTCACTGTTTTCCGTTGACACTGACGTTACCATTGGCCAGTTCCACGAAGGTTCCATCCAGCTTCAAAGACACCTTAATAAAAAATAAAAAAATAATAATAATACATTTTATTTGACAGATGCCTTTCAGGACATCTCAAGGTCACCTTACATTAAAATCATAGTGCAATTTAAAAAAACCATCAAAGGACTGATCCCAAAGGAATACCTTGGTTATGGTGGGCAGCCCGTCTACCTCTCCCCGCTGCAGCTGAACGTTGAAAGGCCTCATAGCCGCTGCTGCTCTTACACAGCGACGTCAGCACGTGGTTACAGGTGTATGGCCAGCTGGAAGAAGTCTCCATCGTATGGTTTTGTAGTGGTAGTTACCCCATGTGCTGGCAGACCTGCCCGTTATGAGTGGGACTCACTCCTGCTGCATGGGGGGAAATGTACTGTATAGTTGCACCATTCATGTCTGAATACGAGATGTAAAATATAACAGTATAATATAGATATTTGAGTATTAGGTAACATATATGTAAAAAAAAGAATACCTGACAAGATTTGCAGTTTGGAATCATATAGACTCCCAATGGAAGTCATATCTGGAATCATAACTGAAAAAACAGGGAACCAAGTCTTATTTTGCTTCTAACCAGCTCCTCTTTAGTTCCTAAACTATGCTACATGAATTATCCTAAGGTGATATTAAATGGCATTTTATCATATCTTGTCTTATCTTTTTCTTACCAGTCTCAGAATATGCAGCAGACAGTCCGAAGAGGAGAGCAATCCACGGCTTTACCCATTGGAGTGCCATGATGGTTCTTCTAACGATGTCCTCCTGGTCCACCTGAACAGGTAATCTACCTGCTCCTACTGATAATGTATGGCACCAGGTACCTGCTTTTAAACTACTACACACTCCAAGGAAGTACCTACACTCAGGGAAGCACCTTGATGATGCTGGGATAGTTGACTCTGTATTTAAGGAGGGGACTGATCAAACTTTAGGCGTTACCATTGTTCTGTCTGTCTGTCAGAGATCAGATTAACTTCACTGTAAGTGACATTGGGTAATGTATTAAGCATAATAGTCCTTAGATCACTATCGATATTCCTGAGAAGTTGGTTGCGTCCCAAAAGTGTACCCTATTCCCTATATAATGACTGTACATAACATTAAGAATCCAGGTGAAAGCTATGATCCCTTATTGATGTCACTTGTTAAATCCACATCAGTCAGTGTAGATGAAGGGGAGGAGACAGTTTAAAGAATACATTTTAAGCCTTGAGACTATTGAGACATGGATTGTGTATGTGTGCCATTCAGAGGGTGAATGGGCAAGACAAAAGATTTAAGTGCCTTTGAACGGGGTATGGTAGCTGGTGCCAGGCGCACCGGTTTGTGTCAAGAACTTCAACGCTGCTGGGTTTTTCACGCTCAACAGTTTCCCGTCTCTATCAAGAATGGTCCACCACCCAAAGGACATCCAGCCAACTTGACACAACTGTGAGAAGCATTGGAGTCAACATGGGCCAGCATCCCTGTGGAACGCTTTCAACACCTTGTAGAGTCCATGACCCGACGACTTGAGGCTGTTCTGAGGGCAAAGGGGGGTGGGGAAGGGTGGGGAAGGGTGAGGAAGGGTGGGGAAGGGGGGGGGAAGGGGGGGAAGGGGGGGAAGGGGGGGGAAGGGGGGGGGAAGGGTGCAACTCAATATCAGGAATGTTTTGTTCACTCAGTGTATAGTGCACTACTTTGGAACAGAGTCCTGGTATAGGGTATAGGGTATAGGGTATAGGGTATAGGGTATAGGGTATATGGTATAGGGTATAGGGTATAGGGTATAGGGTATAGGGTATATGGTATAGGGTATAGGGTATAGGGTATAGGGTATAGGGTATAGGGTATAGGGTATAGGGTATAGGGAATAGGGTATAGGGCATAGGGTATAGGGTATATGGTGTATGGTATAGGGTATAGGGTATAGGGTATAGGGTATAGGGTATAGGGTATAGGGTATAGGGTATAGGGTATAGGGTATAGGGCATAGGGTATAGGGTATAGGGTATAGGGCAGGGTTCTTCAATTCCGGTCCTGGAGGGCCGAAACAATTCTGTTTTTTATTTATACCTGGTAGTTAATTGCACTCACCTGGTGTCCCAGGTCTGAATTAGCCGCTGAATAGAAGGAGAGGATGAAAAACAGAGGTGTTTCGGCCCTCCAGGACCGGAATTGAAGAACCCTGGTATAGGGTATAGGGAATAGGGTATAGGGTGCCATTTGGCGTTGATTACAGTAAACCCTTATGTAAACAATGATCAATGGAAAGACAGCTTTTACAGCAAACCAAGTGACGGGGCTGCCGTTTAGTTATTTTTCAAATGAAGGAGTGGGCCTTTGTATGACTAATTGATGATGCACTGTCCATCTGTTCACGCTGATCTTATGGTTTTACCTGCTTTTTAATATATTGTACGACATCACATTTTACGTATGTTCTGCATATGTACAAAGATGTTCAAATAAACCTTTAAAACCTGATGGGATGAACTTCTTTGAACTTCAGTGTTACACAATTCAATGGTGGTTTAGTACTTGTCCTGTTTCATGGCCTGTTCTTGGAAAAGAGTGATGATCGTTAGTGTTAGTCTACTTCACAGCCAGGCCTCACCACAGGACCACAAAGTTATAGGCTCAATCCCAAATGGCTTCCTACTCCCTACGTAGTGCGCTACTCCCCATAGGGCTCTGGTCATGAGTAGTGCACTAGTTAGGGAATAGGGTGCCATTTGGGACACAATCATAGATGTCCTACAGCTGTTCAAACACTGGGTTGTGTCTTCAGATTATTTGTTTTTGGTTGGAGGAAATTTTTTAACATCAACTCCACCACCCAGTCATTGCTAAATGCTCAGAGCTCTACTGAAGCATTAAATCATACAGGATATGACCAAATATTGACTTGGCAACTTATTTACAATTCCTCATCTGCTTTTGGTGACCATATCGTACAGTCACGCAGTAGAAGTTGACGGGTCTAGCTCAGTTCAATTATAATTCACTG